CCAAGGCAGGTAGAGGGTGGAAAAAAGCCAAGGGTGGTCAAAATAAGATCTAGCCCGAGGGTATGAAAGTTGAACCAGGAAACTCGATCATGAATGTCATGTTAAGCTCCGAAGATGGGGATCTGGGGTCATTGTAACCAACGGTTAGAGACAGTGAGTGATATGGTCAGGTATCGTAAACAGTGGCGCTAACGCATCTCTTTAATTTCAATGAAGCTTTAATCTACTAAAATTCCCCATTTTATCTTAGACTTTACTTTAACTTTCCTGTCTTTCTCCTATTGCATCATCAAACTGGACAGCTAATAGACGACAACCGAAACCGGCAGACGAAAATGCACGGTTAATGATTGTACAAACTGAACTGAACTCTTTATAAATATAGCTATTTTCTTTCCAGCTTTTGTTACTACCATACCCACTTGTTTATCTTTTTCTTTTAAACTTTCCTCCAAAAGAAGGCGGGTCTGTCAGATAGGACCAGAGGAACCGAAGGAACTGAACCGGCAGAATGTCTGTTAATTATACTTCTCGATATACAGGGGGTCAAGCGTTACAGGGACGAACGGAAAGTTCACTGAAATCACACAGTTGAGTAGAAGCAAACCATTCGGTTTTATGACCGCAAAGAAAAATCAGTATGCTGAACTTCAATTGTTTCCAATCACATCGGTTTGAACCTTGTATTTGTTTGTTTATGATGTATATTTATTGGATATTTCGGTGGTGCTTCTATGGATCAATATGAATTCTACCAGTGTGCGACATTTTAGCACGCATAAATCTACACAATGTATTTATAATGATTCATTGTGGTTTGGGTTAATTAGTCATGGACATTATCAGCAAGAGAGTACCGTTTTATGGCACAAAATATGCGGGTATCTTTCTTGATCGCTCAGACTGATTTTATTTGGCCACAATGACCTAAAACAGCCAGTCTGAACGATCATAACAAAAAAATCAATGGAAAGAAATATTGAAAACTGACCGAATGTGTGAGATGGAGCAAAAGAGGGGGGAGGGATAACTTTCGGACCCAATGATCACAAATCATCCCCTTTTTCTTTCGAAAGAAATTCCTTGAGTACTTGCATTGTTTTCTGTAATAAATAAAATTTTTGGTAAGTCTACAAAACGAGGCACTTACCGGGTTCCCAACAGATTCTGCCAATTGATGTGCGTTATAACCGTTCTATAATGGAATGGGGACAAGTTCGATA